TCTGTTTGCGAGCACACACTCCTCACCACTGCTGCTGGACTATCTGATGATGCTGCTTCATTTCTGCTGCCATCCTGAAGCAGCTCAGGGCTTCACCAGAGCGCTCGGCCTCGTCACCGGACACACACTGCACTACAAACACACCACCCCACTCACACAGGTACATATCAAGAGATAGCAGTCTCTTTTGAGCTTGTTTAAATTTTAGAAAAATTTTTAATTTTTTATTATGGCATTATTTTAATTTCAGCAAAAAGCTAAATAAAGGAGTAGTTCACTTCCAGAACGATTGGTCACCATTGGCTTCCACTACAAGTTGAGGATCACCTTTGACTTCCATAGTAGTAGTATTTGTTTCCTCTACTTTAGTCAACAGTTTGGATGATAACAATCATTCATTTTCCTTCAGCTTAGTCCCTTATTTATCAGGGGTCGCCACAGCAGCATGAGCCGCTAACTATTCCAGCATATGTTTTATGAGGCGGATACCCTTCTAGCCACAGCCCAGTTCTGGGAAATAGATAATAACGTATTTTCAAATTATTTTTTTTAACAGAGGAAAGTAAGCCATACAGGTTAGAACAGTGCTGTAAATAATGACAATCTTCATTCTGGAAGGGAATTACACCTTTAATATTGATTAACTCTTTTGCTGTTTTTAGTGTAATTCACAAAACTATAAAACTATTCATTTTATGTCATAAATGTTAAATATAAATGATTTGAAACCTGGATGTGAGTCTTTATCTCACGTTATTGCTGTAGTCTGTGCCGTGTCTGGAGGGCGCTGGAGTTGTGGATGATGCTGGTGCTGATAATGAAGAGGAGCAGCACAGAGGGGTGGAGTCTGAGGAAGTGGGCGTGTCTGTTGATGATGTGCTCAGAGTTTTGAGTCATGGAGAGGATCTCGTCTTACATCTAAACCGCTTCCAGCTTGTCCACAGGAGCAGAGATGAACTCCGAGAGGTGAAGTAAAGTACTTTTTAGACTTAGGCTTTAATTTCAAACATGTCAAAATAAAATTAATTAATTAATGTTGTTAAGCAAAGCAAATAATACACATTTTACTCATAAATGTCCAAAATAGGAATAGGAAGAAGCATGTGCTTAGTAGAATATAAATGCGCTCATTCAAAAAAAAAAAAATTGAAGGTGACCATGTTCCATTTTTTCCAAGAGTCCACATCAGTTTTTTTTCAATGTCCTGACTTACGCAAACATTATGTTTGGTGTCCCATGTTCGCTAAGATGTCTGAGTTGTAATCTTTTGTCATGCAACAATACTGTAAATTAGTGGTTCTCAAACTTTTTTCACCAAGTACCACCTCAGAAAATATTGCCTCTCCAAGTACCACCATTATGACTGGTATTGAAATATGTAGTAGGCCTAATTAAGTAGCTAAAGCTCTGCACAGTTCACAAATGTGACAGATTTTTTCTTTTTATTATGAATATTTATTATTGTCAGCCACTTTAAACATAATAAATAGTTTGAACATCAACACTGTACTGTGCTTACAGGTTAAAAAAAAAAAAGATAAATAAAACATCAACGTTTAAATTAAAATGTGCTTCTAAAAGTTCATTAAAATGGCACCGTTCTTAAAAAGTTAAAAGAAAGTTGCTGTACTTAAATGTAAAGCATTTACGTATAGTAGCCTATTTATTAAAACCTGCAAATGTTTCTTGGACCTCATAAATATATGCTGTACCGTATGTCAATCATATTCATATATAACTCTTTTTGATACATTTTTAAATATATATTGCATGTATATATGACTTAAAGTATTTGTATATCTTTGAAATCTAAACATTAACTTGTATTTTAAATATATATGAATTGTTTTTACATATTTAAACTAGTAGGCTATGTGTGTCAGACAAGCAAGTGATTAAACTGTACCTGTCAACATTGGGATATAAAAATACAAGACACATCTCCAACACCCGTTACAAATATGGAAAGGAAAACAACTTCAAATGATAGAATACATAACAAACATTAGAAAATTGAAAATAAAATGAAAGGTTTAGCCTATTAACATCAATTTCCTGATCACATCGGTGTTATCGATCAAAGCGTTAAAAGTGTGTTCATTTTTTTACTTTAATTATTCAGCAATTCCTCCACGTACCACTTGAAGGAAGCCTGCGTACCACTAGTGGTACAAGTTACACAGTTTCAGAACCACTGCTCTATATCAAACCAATGAATTTTAAAATGTATCAGTATAATATTTTGGAGTTTGTAATAGTATATTTTAGAGATTAAAAGCACTATGCAGTCACAGTTCTTTATTCATTCACTTGCAGTTAGTGAAGGTAGAGTCAAACATTAGAGTCAGTGATGAAGAGCACGGAGGAAGATATGAAAATGTCAGTGAAGCATGCTTGCATATCTTCTGTAACAAGGTTCTTTAATTTCTAGAAAGGAGTGTAATTTACTAAGTGGATAAAGATTTTTCTGTTGTTCACTGGGGCTGACAGTACAGAGCATACAAACAGTTGAAATCAGAATTATTCATCTCTCTTTGATTTTTTTTCTTCTTTTTTTAATATTTCCCAAATGATGTTTAACAGAGCAAGGAAATTTTTTTGTCTGATAATATTTTTTTCTTCCGAGAAAGTCTTATTTGTTTTATTTTGGCTAGAATAAAAGCAGTTTTTCATTAAAAAAAAAAAAAAAAAAAACATTTTAAGGTCAAAATTATGAGTCCCTTTAAGCTATGTTTTTTAGATTTTCTACAGAACAAACCATCGTTATACAATAACTTGCCTAATTACCCTAACCGCTTAGTTAACCTAATTAACCTAGTTAAGCCTTTAAATGTCACTTTAAGCTGTATAGAAGTGTCTTGAAAAATATCTAGTCAAATATTATTTACTGTCATCATGACAAAGATAAAATAAATCAGTTATTAGAGATGAGTTATTAAAACTATTATGTTTAGAAATGTGTTGAAAATGTCTTCTCTCTGTTAAACAGAAATTGGGGAAAAAATAGTCAAGGGGCCTAATAATTCTGACTTCAACTGTATGTACACAAAGCTCACGAACGTGGCTAAAACTTGGCTAAACCAAGTAGCAACTTCTTTTTGTGTGTGTAAAATTTGTGAAAATATCTTACATGCAGAATATTTTAACTACAATTGTGTTGTTAATGAACACTGACAACATTACATGCAGCACTGACTGTCTGACAATTACTTATAAAGCTAACATCACATTTGTCATGTGGATTATATTTCCATGCTTATGATGATTGGCAAGGGGTCTACAAGTTGATTTCCAAAATGTTTTTTACATGATAAAATTAGTATTGCACTGTGCTTAAGCAAGAAGGTAAATGTTCAAGCCCTGTTTGCACCAAAGTCCTTTAATTGAGGAGTTTCCATGTCACTTGTTTCCACCACAGTTCGAAGACATGAAGCATAGATAAAATGAAATGAAAATCTGAAACAGACAAATCCCTAAAAAACCAACTTCACTCATTTTAATTCAATAAATAAACAAATTAGAAACTAAGTTACAGTTATAGTTACTAAGAAACAGTTAGTAACTATAACCAACAGTGAGCACTTAAGTTTCTAAGTTCTGGTAAATGCACAATCTATTTAGTGAAATGTTCAGTGTGCATTCAGTAGATGTTGATTGGAAAAAAACCTATAAAAAACATTTATAGGTTAATGAATTTTGTCTGCCAGGGTTTTTGTGTAGTTTTGTCATTGTGTTATGCGTTCTAATGTCATATTTGATGTGTTATGGTGTGTTCAGGAGCTTCTGAAGGTGTTTAAGGACTTGGGTTTCAGTGGTGAAGAGAAGATTCCTTTCTCCACACTATCTCAGCATCCCTTTCTGCAGGACCTGATAGAAGGATCCGCCTATTATCTGCTCCATGTGAGTAAAACACACACGATTTCACTTTATACTAAATACTAACACATATTATACATATTAATATATAACAAGGCGACAAGATGGCACAGTGGGTAGCTCAATTGCCTCACAGCAAGAAGGTCGCTGGTTCGAGTCCCGGCTGGGTCAGCTGGCATTTCTGTGTGGAGTTTGCATGTTCTCCCCGTGTTGGCATGGGTTTCATCCGGGTGCTCCGGTTTAAACCACAGTCCAAACACATGTGCTATAGATGAATTGGATGAACTAAATTGGCCGTAGTGTATGTGTGTGTATGAATGGGTGTGTATGGGTGTTTCCCAGAGATGGGTTGGGGCTGGAAGGGCATCCGCTGCATAAAACACATGCTGGATAAGTTGGTGGTTTATTCCGCTGTGGCTACCCCTGATTAATAAAGTGACTTAGCCGAAAAGAAAATGAATGAATGAATGAATATAAAACAAACATTAATTTTAGTTATTGATTGAACTCAATTAAAGTTTATAATCACAGAATTGATTAAATTTAATTAATTAAATTGCTTAAATTTGAAAAACATCTATTTAAACCTTATAAGCAAGTTTGTTTTTTAAATGTATGCAAACTTTCTGTTTTAAAGAGCAATACATATTTTTTATACAGGAAAAAAAAATCACTCGTCAAGCCTTTTGATGTGTTTTATTGAAATTTGATGGGTGAATAAAGATGAAAGTTATTGTCTTACAGTTTTACACCAAAATATAAACTGTTCTTTTAAATCATATTCACATTTATTCTGTCCAGGACATTCACAAAATTTTCCAGACAAAACAAACTGAAGATTCGAGAAGTTTCTCAACATGATGAACACTCAAAACAACACACATCAACACCTGTATGACAGAAGGTGCACGCTAGTAGAATTATACAGTAAACGTAAGTAATACAACATTAAATCTATATTTGCTATATTAATAGTTTTATTCATTATAATTTACATCTAAATTCATCATGAAAACACAAAGAACAGTGGTTTACTGAAATGCACCATTGTTGAAATGTTTCTAAATGTATTTTCTGTTGTGATGATACACATTGTCACGACAATTATATTGCCTCATATAATATTGTCTCGTATTACAGCAGTTCTGTCAAATCAATCAATATACTGTATTTGTGTAGAAGCATGAACATGATCCTTTACTAAGGACAACGCTGAATAATAAATCTATGTAAAATCAACATGAAACATCAGCACAAATGTAAAGTAAAAAAAATATGAAATTGAGAGAATGATTTATGGTAAATGTGTATGTTTAGACATAGATATGAATACACAAGTCTGTAAAAAAAAGATAGAATACACGATAATGTAAAAAAATACAGAATAAAGAATTTTACTACATACTGTACAATATTGTTGATTGTTTTGCTCTCTTGGGACAAGTTAGAACAAGTCACTCACAAATTTAATGTCTGGAGCACTCAATTGGTTAAATTCATCGCGAGAATTGGAATCATCCATCTCGCTGATGGTTTGATTCTCGTATTCTGGAGTCTCAGACTCATTTTCTCTGTAGGGTGCTAATTTATTGACAATCTCAACTAAACCTTTTAATTTAGCCTGTGCTCTGATGGTGTCTAAGATGGGCTTCATTGAAAAGCTGTATTCTACTATGCTCCCAAATTTATTTCCCTGTTTTGGATAGACATATCCACCAGTGTGCACACCAATCAGTTTGCAGTCTGCGTCAAAAACCGGAGAGCCAGAAGATCCATGAAAGAAACAAGATTCATAAGCGATCTGGTTCTCGTAAATTTCCCAATTGTCTTCCAAAGCCCTTTGTGTCATCACATGAATGTAATCAGCATTTTCAGATAAGTGTTTATTTGCAGCCTCTAGTAGGTGCTCTTTCTCAATGATGAAGCAGGGGTCCATTTTCTTGACCCCTTCACCTGGATGTCCTACAATGCAGATCTGACTTTTATTTAGAGGACGGTTTGCACTGTAACAATCAACCAATGGAAACATCTCAATTTTAGGATTGTCATCAAGTTCAAGTAGAGCATAGTCAAGATGGCAGCCGCTCTCATCTTTTCCATAAAAGTAAGATGCGAGCTTTTTAACTGAGATGCGCTTGATTTCTGAGTCCAGGTCTTCATAATCGAATACAGCTGTGAACTCTGCAAAGTTTATTTTCGAAAGATCAGCGGATATTCCAATAACATGAGCATTGGTGAGGATAAAGCCGTCAAAGAGTAAGAAGCCAGTTCCTAAGGCAGACCCTGCCTTTCTAATCTGACACACAGAGTCTGAAAATTTCATGAGCTGCTTCACTTTCTTCACCTCAGAGAAATTCTCAACACTTTTACTAAATTCTGCTCTGAAGAACTTCTGGAAATCAGAGTTGTTCTTCAGTTTCTCTCTGTGCTTTAATGTCTTCAGTAAATCTTGAAACTGATTACGCAGAAAATCCAGAGTGTCTGTAGAATCATCAATGCGATTAGTGGCGAACCGTTTAAGAATGTACTGTGAAGAATCTCTGGACTTTTTTGTGTTTCCTGGTGTTTTTTGTTCTGGCTCTGTATTGGTGGGTGTCTGAATTGGGTCAGCCTTTACTGCAATATCAGCTTCTGAAGTGATTGACTGGTGTTCAGTGTAGACTGTCTCTTGACTGTCTGGTTGATACTTGTTACTAATAACAACAACCTGAAAAGCCTTTCTGTCGAGATCATCAACAGGAATTGACAATTCATATCTTGTCTCACTACCAAACTCAGAAAGGCCGCAGGTCTTCCTGTAGATGACATTGTTGAATCTTCCATCACGTTTAAGAGCAGTTTTGACTTTCTCTCCTTTAAATGCCCACACACAAACATAGGGAGCAATCTTCTTCAAAGCACTGCTCTTCAGCAACTTTTTCACGTTTGTTCCTCCTTCTTTTTTAACCCAAAAGGTGACTAAACTTTCAGGTTTTTGATTTGTAGAATATTTAGAATGACTTTCCATATAAGTTGTTTCTTCTTTCATGAAAGTTATATCTAAGATCTCATCTCTTTCAACAAGACAGCAGGGGAAATCAGTCTTCACAGCAGCTCTAGGGAATTCTCCTTTGGATCTCTGGATGATTATTTGTTTCTGCTTGTTCTTGAATTTGGCTTTTTCATCCATGAAGGTTTGGTTTGTACGAAGAGCCTCAATCACAGTCACGGATGGATTACACGGGACAGAATATGTATTGGAATTTAAATGAATCCGGAATTTGTGTTTTTTTTCTTCTACTTCCTGTTAAGTATAGAAAATCTAATCTTCACAAATATCCAGAAGAATGAAACTGTAAAAAAATTAATGTATTGTCTGTTTGTAATGGTTGATAAGTTTTGTGTTAGGTTATCTACCTTCTGCAGATCTTTTGATCCTTCCTCAGTTTCTGTCTTACACAAGCAAGTTGTTGTTTCCTGGAACAATGCCAAATTTTGTTAGAAATTAGTGGTTTGCCAATATCGTCAAGGAAATGTACAGCTAAAGTACTTCCAGACAGGGTAAATATGTGGTAACACTTTATTTTGATGGTCCATTTGATTTATAGTAGACTGTCTGCTTAAAATCTGCTGATACTGCTCCTTCAACAGACATTTAACTGACTATAAGAAACTTTGCAAGTGCTTGTCAACTTACACTAACCCCAACCTCAACCCCAACCCTAGCCACAACCTAAAAAGTCTACTTATAATCTAATGAGAATTAATTGGCATGTAGATGCAATGTAACTTAAATTCAACAAACTGACCATCAAAATAAAGCATAATCAAATATGTTTCCCCCAAAGCAGAGAATTGCTTCCCAGGCAGCTCACTGCACCGGGGTAGGGTTGCAACAGCTGTTCTTTCTACAACTGGAATGTAAAGTCCACACTAGAGGTATAGAGGTATCACTTCGATTGCACCACGTTCTTAAGGCAAACCATAGTTAGTAGATCGTAATCCCTCCGTAAAGTCATGCGTAGTTGCACTGAATGACGTATTATCCGATAAAAAGCATTTAAATCATTAAACTGCTTTAAAATTCTGCAACTAATGCATCTACAGTTAGGTCCATAAATATTTGGACATCGACACAATTCTAACATTGTTGGCTTTATACACCAACACAAAGGGTTTGAAATGAAACAAACAAGATGTACTTTACATCCAAATCAGGTGAACGGTGTAGAAATTACAACAGTTTTGCATATGTGCCTCCCACTTGTTAAGGGTCCAAATGTAATTGGACAATGACCGTAGAATTCCTTCCCCGGTGAAGAAAAGACCCTTCACAACAGTTGGCCAGATCAAAAACACTCTCCAGGAGGTACAGTAGGTGTATGTGTGTCAACAATCAAGAAAAGACTACACCAGAGTGAATGCAACACCTCCCTCACCACCCGCGAGTCCTCTGTTATCTGCGCATAGGCCGGCAGAATAGAAAGTGGGGTCCGCGACACTTCCCTCACCACCCGGCACCCGCGTATCCTCAGTTATATCCGCGCATAGGGCAGCAGAATAGAGGTCTTCATTTTGATAACCAGTCACTTTCGTTTTCACTTTCGGGTTGAGGGCGGCGTGATCATCCTCTGCCTAGAGCGGCAGTTCAGCTTGCTCCGTCCCTGAATGCAACCAAAGTGTTTTTGAAATGAAAGAAGTGGGATTTTATGCAATGGCCAAGTCAATCCCCTGACCTAAATCCGATTGACATAAAGCACATCTTGTTTGCTTTATTTCAAATCCATTGTGTTGGTGTGTACAGCCAAAAATGTTAGAACTGTGTCGGTGTCCAAATATTTTTGGGCCTAACTGTAGATTAAACTGTTTTATAAAAATGAAATGGCAAATTAAATTTTTATAGTACAGTTAATAAGTCAGTCACTACAGTCAATGCGCACACCTGCATCATGAGTAGGTGAAATACACAAGTTTAGTGGTGCAACACAAAAATACTTAGTAATGTGTGCGTTGTAACGTGGGTGTCACGGTCGAGCAGTGGGTAGAACGATTGCCTTCTGTGTGGAGTTTGCATGTTCTCCCCTTGTTGGCGTGGGTTTCCTCCGGGTGCTCCGGTTTCCCCCAGAGTCTAAAGACATGCGCTATAGGTGAATTGAATAGACTAAATTGGCTGTAGTGTATAAGTGTGTCAATGAGTGTGTATGGGTGTTTCCCAGAGTTGGATTGTGGCTGAAAGGGCATCCGCTGCAAAAAACATAAGCTTGATGTTTTAGAGCGAGCAAGTGAAGAGCAGGGGGGGGGGAAGGTGAGGTGCGGAGCAGATATGGAGATGGTTGCGTGTTGGGTTTGGTGCGCATGGGGACTGTACCAAAAAGCTGCGGAGCAGGGCGGTGGGGGTGGAATTCCAGGATTTTTTCAGGAGATAGCACAATACAGGAAATACGGGAGACTCCTGGGAAAAACAAAAACGGGAGTGTTGGCAGGTATGACCAAGTTAGTAACTGTACTGTGGTGTTAGTAACTCTACTATGGATCAGAGGTCTCATTTACAAAGACTCGCGTTGAAGTCATACTAAAACATTGCGTACGGACAAAGCTGTAAATATGCGCACGTAGTAAAAAAAATTCAGATGTATTAAACAATGCGTATGCAGAATCCCACGCAAATTTCCTTTGTACATCCGAATTAAAGTGCAAAACCCCTTCCTGCTTGCTCCCCTGTATAAATATGGTAATGACTCTACTTTGGCAAAACCAAGCGAAAAAGCAATGGCAAAAGCAAGCAAACAGAGAAACTTCACAGAATGTGAAATGGAGGTGCTTCTATCAGAAGGAGACTGGAAAAAAAGTGTGTTATTTGCAAGTTTGTCTTCCGGAATTAATAACAAAAGAAAAATATAGAGTGGGAGAGTTTAGCTGACGCGGTTAACGCAGTGGGGTCTGAACATTTCACTGTAAGTGAATTAAAAAAGAAATGGTCCGATGTAAAGGTGCAGGTTAAGAGGAGAAAAACGGCGACCTGTCAAAGTGTGGACAACAGGCGGGGGAACAGGGGATGATGAACTATCACCCTTTGAGGAGAGAGTTGCCTCAATTGTGGGCAACACACAATTTTAGAGTTGATTTGAATTTTTTATCTCAAATGGTGTCAGAGTTTAATTGACTAAAATTTTTACATTAAAAGATATATTTTTTAAATATTATAAAATAAATAAAGAGCTAATTTCAAAAACAGAGTCTTGTGCAATAAGCAGGATGTTTTTCTGAACATTTTGGTACTGGTTTTATTGTATATTTTCATATGGTTGAATTGTTTAATTCATTCATATAGTTAATTTTTTTTTTTATAATTGAGAAATTAAGCCTTGTGCAACATAAAGGGCACATATTTATGCCTATCTGAACTATTTTTTGCTCAAACTATAACAGGAGCAAAGAATTTAATTGGTTTGAAATCGAATGTCTAATGAATGTCAAACGTCAAACTAAGTTTACCATGGTTCAACAGCATGGTATGGAAACCTGATATACCTGCTAGACATGTGGATGATCCCGTCCCATACAGCTGCCATTGAGTGGCTCAAAGATACATTGTAGCAGTTGGGAGTAAGTCACACATGTGCAAGTCACAAGCAAGTCTCAAGTCATAACCTTCAAATCTCAAGCAAGTCAAGTCAATTTTTGTCAGAGTCAAGTCACTGCTTATTTCAAGTCACGACAAGTCGTAGCTTGGTCTAGCATGTCACTTTCAAGTCAGTCTAATTATATATATATATATATATATATATATATATGTGTGTGTGTGTATGTGTGTGTGTGTTTGTATTAATAACTAATAATATTATTAATAATAATAACTAATAATCACACTTTTTTGAAAATTAATCGTGATTAATCGCATTTAAAAGACTGACACTTGTAATTTTGGCTATTCAAATGTAAAACTTATGTAAACGCAAGACAAAAACTATTTAAATTTAAAATATAATTGTTTATTAGAATTTTTGTTTAACTTGTGACACAGATTTCTTCATGTAAACAACATACCCACAAAAGAAATTAAAACACAGGCATGTTAATGCCATTTGAATTTGAAAACAATCAATACCAATAAAGAAAACATTGATTTCCATGTTGGATTCTAAGTGGACTGCAAAAAAATGCCAAAATACAGGCATTGCAGATATGGAAAATGAAAAATTCTAATAACAATAAAGTATTTAATACAAACAATTAATTTATTTAAACGCATGAAATATTTCAAATTAATCGCATGCATTAACACACTAATTTTGACAGCACTAATACACACACACACACACACACACACACACACACAGTATATGAACTCATTTGAAATGACACTTTTATCACTAGTGAATCAGATAGCTTCTTGCTCAGGGGAATGTGTGTGCTTACTTCAAAGCCATTAAAATATTATACTATTAATAAACAAGACCCTAAATCACAAAACCAATCTTAAAGTGCACAGGAACATTTTTTGGGGAAAAAGTATTGAATCAAAATGATCATTTTTTCTTTTATTACAAAAAACATTATTATATTAAAAGTAAAGATCATCTACCTCAAAGACATTTTCTACATTTTCATAACTTCAATAAAAATGTTTTGATTAGTAATATGAATTGCTAAGAATGAACTCTAAAGGCAATTTTGAACCTTAAGATTCCAGATAATATATAAAGCCCATTTCACACATACGTTACACACAGGTTTTGAGATCCATGGTCTCAAATGGTTTCTTGTTTTGCCTAACTTATTTCTTAATTTTTACCCCGATTTTGTTTTTAAAAAGATGCATGCGAGTAAAAAAAAACTAGAATATAACATTTCACAGACTGTTTTAATAGAATCTTTTTTTTTTTTTACTTAACCCCTAACATGTCAAAAACCTACATGTTAAACATTAGCATACAAATACAGTACTATCAATGCTTCTCACAGGTTTGAAATATACATGCGGTGGTAGCTGGATTGAAACACCATTTACCCACATCACATAAATAGTTACCTATAGGGGACAAACAAAACATATTCAATTTTTTACAATAATTTCATTTATTTTGAATATTGTTATACACTGTTTACTTACAGTGGGTTAAAGTTAAAAAAAAAAAAAAAAAAAAAGATATCCACTTTCTCCAGCAATCTTGAACGCGAAAGCATTCTAGATATGTATAAAAAATAGCCTGTTTAATAGCCTAATGACATTGTCAAATTAATAAAATAACAGCAAATGAGAAATAAATGACAGAAAAAGGAAAAAAAACTGAATATCTAAAAAATATTCATAAATAATCATAGTTACAAGATTTAAATGTGTAAATTATTTGAAGAAGGCTAATGCTTTGATAGGGTTTTCTGCAGATATCATAATATCAAATTTAAGACTTTTTAAGACCTTTTAAAGACCATTCAGTATTAAACACACCTTTACAAGTGAAGACATTATCTACACACAAACTGAATCTCCAATTAGAATAATTATACAAACTATAAAATACTATTCATGAAAATACCTAAATAACAGACGAATCCAAATGCCCAAAGCAAGCGAGCTGCGCTTCAGAGTTTAGACCAGATCAGCTGGATGACGGATAATGTCCCCGACACCGCCTGTAGTCCCATTTAGCAACTTGATAGCAATCGTCTTTTTAAAGTAGCACAACCGATTTAAAAAATGAAGACTGTGATGTAACTGATGTGTTTTATGTTGTAGAACAAAACGTGAAAGTATCTTGAGTTTGTGTCAGCCACGAACCTTATTTAAGCGATTTTTACTGAAACCCCATTCAAAAAACCCATTGACTTTTTAGAAAATGCTAAAATGCTAACTCGCTTCCGGGTTTTTGCATACAAATTGACGCCATAGTTCCTCCACTCTATAGAAAACTGATTGGCTATTGTCGGTCTAGGGCATGTTGGTCTTTTTTGTAGTTGTAATACTGCAAATTACAATGTGACTAGTGAAATAAAGAACTACAACACCGTGAAAGCAAAGCAACATAAAAACAGAGAATTCAAATGTAGATGTAGCGTTACATGGACATCGGAAAAATAAGACCTGTGCAAAAATATTTAAGACCTAACAGCGAATTTAAGACTTTTAAAGACCTAACATTTCGATTTTTAAATTTGAGACTTTTTAATAGTGATGGGAAGTTCGGATCATTTTACTGATTTGAATCTTTGAGTCTCGTTCGCCAAGATGAACGAATCTTTTTTCGAGTCATTTCGTTCATTTGGTTCAATTTGCTAAACACATCTACAACCAGCCCAAAAGGTTGATGGCACAACAAATAAGTCATAAAAAGAATATAAGAAAGAGAAAATAATAATTCAATGTTTACCTGCTCTTTTGTCTATGAAGGTATTGTTGTCTTTTTGCTCAACTCACCTCTTCATGTCTTCAAATATCAGGGGTTCATTCACGTTACACTGACAGTCACATATAATCATAACCAATGTACTCAGTCTGAGCCGAAAGGAGCCATGATCGTTCATTCATCACGTGAAAGAATGACTCAAACCTGAGGACTCGAGAGATGAACTGTTCAATTCTTTTTCCTGCTCTAAACGTGTATGATTGGCCCGTGAGGAACGAGTGACTCAGACCCGATAGAGGACTCAAGAGATGAACGCATCAATTCTTTTTGAGTGACTCAGACACGATAGAGGACTCGAGAGATGAACGGATCAATTCTTTTTGAGTGACTCAGACACGATAGAGGACTCGAGAGATGAACGGTTCAATTCTTTTTCCGGCTTTAAATGCATATGATTGGCTCGTAATGAACGAGTGACTCAGACCCGATAGAGGACTCGAGAAGGGAGCGGATCAATTCTTTTCCGGCTCTAAACGTGTATGATTGGCTCGTGATGAACGAGTGACTCAGACCCGATAGAGGACTCGAGAGGTGAGCGGATCAATTCTTTTTCCGGCTCTAAGCGCATATGATTGGCTTCTGCCAATGTGATGAAGACTTGAAATTAACGATACTACCTGCACAAATGTGCACACGCGCGAATGAACGAATCATTCATGAACGACCCATCACTACTTTTTAAGACCCGCGGAAACCCTGTTTGATTACTAATGGTGTATGTATATTTTGCAGCCAGTTTAAATGAGTAAGGAGAAAGGATTTTCCACTACATCGATCGCAGATGTTTGGTTAAATTAGATAGATACAAAAGAGTGTAGAAGAATGATAATAACTGTAAAAAAAATGTGTCACTAAATATACTTAGACGGCCCGCCCGAGTGTGGCAAGCTCCGAGTCAGACTAAATAGTATAATCTTTCATCAGCCGTCTTGTTTGTAATCTTTACACCCGTAAAATAGGCTCTCTTTGGCTGAGCGCCTTCCATTTTTTATCACTGCATTATCTGAAGGCCGAATACCAAATGAATCGTTCAAATGAATTGTTCAAATGAATCTAATGAATCATTTAAAGCGGTTCTTCTGAACCAAATTATACAGTCCAGATCCAGTTAATACTGCGCATGTGTGACTTAGAACTTTTGGTTTTCTTTTGTTTTTTAAATGCATGATATATATCAAACGGTTGTGTATTTAACAAAAACAAGTTTTTTTTTCAAGTAATTTAACTCAAGTCCAAGTCAAATCTCAAGTCATGACAGTCAAGTCCAAGTCAAGTCGAGTCTTTTTTGGATATTTGTCAAGCAAGTCTCAAGTCCTAAATTTTGTGACTCAAGTCTGACTCGAGTCAAGTCATGTGACTCGAGTCCCCCATCTCCAAATTTATGAAGCTGCAGGCCCGGAGACCCAACCACAAGCTCAGACTTGCACGCTCAGACGGCTAGACCTGCACTTCCAGACCTTCACAGTGCCACCTGCTGTTTGAAAGATCGACTAACCTGAATTCAGCTGCTTAGAAATTTTTTCTACTATAAAATATTTTGCTCTGATTGAATACATTATTACATTAAATATTAAACACACTAGATTTTGATTTAATGCAATAATTCTGTTGTATTGTTTATTAATTGTATTTGTAAATAGATATTGTTCAGTTACTTCAGTATTTTCAGACATGTTTTGCTTTTTTTATTATTATAAGGATTTATCAGTTTCGTATTGAGTTGAGGGAATAAATATTATCTTCATATACGATAAATTTCTTCACATACAATAAATTATAGTGCTCTGGGTAATTATCACAACAAACTTTATTTTTGTGTACTTTTTCATGAGGTCCTACAAGTCAACAAGCTGTAAACAATGCAGAGAAAATGGTGCAAAATAATAATTGGATTAATGATGTTTTTATGTAGAAAATAACATCAAATAAAATAAATGCTTTACATTCTTGTTGGAGAGATTTTTCATTTCTCGAGCAAAAAACAGTGGAAATATCTGCAGTCTTTGGTGCACTGTGTTAGTGTTGGCAGAGACCCCCTTTATGAATTGTAATATCAATCTGGGAAAACAATACACATCACAAGGAAATTATTGCTTTAACTTTAAAGAGCTCATATTGTAAATTCTATGCAGATATTTTGATTTCCAAAAAAACTTATTTGTAATCATTACAGAACTTATTAATAATTGATAAACTATTGTGTTATTGTTATTGTCTTTGGTAGCATATTCAGATCGATAATACAGTAATATGTACTGTAGACCTGCATAGCACTAAAATATCTTTCAAATAATAATCCCGTTATATATTATGCATTTTTACTTTAACGTTTTTTATTTTGATACAAAATTGTCCATAATGGTACAATAACATCAAAAATAAGCTATAAAAAAAGCTATCTTTTGGCACTAATTTTGAACAAATCAAACACTGAAATGATTGTTTGTTAGTGTAATATTTTACACCACATTCATTTATGCCAGAAAAAACTGGTAATTTTCGGCAATCTCTTTAATTAAACCTTATATTGGCGTCTGATGTTGCTACTTGCTAGCAGTTGGGTTTCTGTACCTGCCGCTTCACCCAACCCAACAGCAGGTGGCACTGTCTGAGAAAACCATAGGTCTGAAAGTGCAGGTCTGTGCGAGCAGGTCTGAGCGTGCAGTTGGGTCTCCAGGCCTGCAGCTTCACCTTACTCCCTATCTCTGCTTTGTAGTGTGCAATTTAACACAATTGCCTCTAGGAGTCACCACTGGAAATAAAACAAACACAGACAGAAAATGCATGTACGCCAGACATGAAGTTGGCATGGACCATCGTTAATTTCATCGTTAGTAAATCCAAACGTGAGCGTGAAATCTGGCGTACTTAAAGTTTTTGTGGGTACGCAGCGTTGACACATAAGGCCCCAGGTTTCGGGAGGCCACTGTGATTAGATTCTATACCAAAGTTGGTGGAACATAAATACTTACAAAAATTAGCAGCTCTTAGCAGCTGTGCGTGCAGTGGGCAGGTGCATCAAGTCATGATTGACAGTTCACTGAGCTAGTAACAGCAAAATGTGTGCAGTAACATGAAAATCACGCAGCCATTGGCTAAATTCTCTCTCAGCCAAACTTCTGGGAAGTAGGAAGATCAATAGGACTGATAGTAGGATAGTATAATAGTAGGACTATAGTAGGATAGTAGGATAGTATAATAGTAGGACTGATCGATAGCAATGACTGAGAGACATTCAGCTTTGTTTCGATTTTAGTAGCTATAACTTGGACTTTTTATTCGGTTTGTGGTCTCATTTTATCTGAAACATTATAAGCTATGACATCGACTGGTCTTTTACTCCAAAGACTCTGTTTTCGCATGTAAGTACCATGGTAAAACGGTGTAAACAATAGGTCTCTGGCAGAAACGGTGACATAAACAAATGGATAACCATCTATAATTCAACACTATTGTGTCAGTGGACTAAATGTGTTTGATAGGATGTTTTTCTGTGGACTCTTACCTTTCAAAATAAACTGTGATGTACGGCAATGAATGTGTGTGTGTGTGTTATTACATGATATGTACTCCATATCTAATAAGCGTTTTCTGCAAAACTTACACAAATTTAGCAAATATATTCTTTATAAACTTCCCACTGAAAAACAACTAGCTGCAATGGGTGCTTAGGGGATGTAGCTTTTAACTGATGTGGAGTTTTTCAAGATTACTCTTGTCCTTTTGGTGTAATCTATTCATAAACATTGACATGTGGAAATAAACAGTGCCTCAGTGCATCCTCGTCGAGGCGCTGGGAAAGGGGTTTTAATAAAATGACAACCTAAAAAAAAAATTACACAATCTAAATAATGTTCCTAGTGTGTGACATCTCATGCTCGTTATTTCTGTTAGTCTGTTTTTTGTGAAGGAGACAACATTAAGCTCTATTTTAAAAAAGACAAACAACAGTCACTTACAGTATTGTGTTGAAAGGGGCTCATAGAAGTTGCCTGCTTCTGTGTGTTATTCAATCTTTCAGACATGTTTCTTACTCTTTTTTTTTTTTTTAAACCTGTAAGAAAGATAAAGATGATTAGCTTAAGGGCGCACTCACACTATGCTACCTGAACTTTGCCCAGCTGCGTTTCCTGGTTCGTTTGAGAAGTGTGAGTGCTCTGAATTGGGCTCATGCATGGTTCAGTTGGCCAGCTCTGGCCCGATTGGAAGAGGTGTGCTTATTAATACTCTTAAATGCAGTTACAGTTATTCTATGCATGGAGTTTGGCTAAATGCTCAAAATGCCAGTCTTTTCCTCATATCTTCCAGTATACTATGCCTACAACTTTGCTCTGTAGCTTGATTACGAGCTACACTTATTCAGCACTTTTTAACATTTTAGAAAACCATATCTCCCATGTCAAAAAAAAACAGCTTTCTTTCATCTGAGAATGATGCTAAGCTACAAAGCATGCTATCTATCTCAGATGTGGAAAAGCTAGTTTATGCTTTTATGACTTCTAGACTGGATTACTGTACTCTGTTCGCTGGTTCCCTGGAATATATATATATATATCTATATATATATATCTATATATATATATATATATATATATAATATATGTATGTATGTATGTATATATATATATGTGTGTGTGTGTGTGTGTGTGTGTGTGCGTGTGTGTGTATATGTGTATATATGTATATGTGTGTGTATATGTATATATATATATATGTATATATATATATATATATATATATATATATATATATATATATATATATATATATATATAAGGTTCATAGCCAGCCTATTAAAAGGGGTGGTTCTTTTTTCAGATATTTGCAGATATTTGAGGCTTAAATACTGCATTTTAATGACATTTAGGCACTATTTTGTGCTGGATTAGCTTGTCGGGTGGTTATCATTACCACAGTTTTTGATGCAACAAAAATATTTCCTACATTTTTGTCTAAGTGCTTATCATACTATTTTTTGTTTACAAAAATTTGTTTATTTTCAAGTTGTTACAGTTTTATATATAATGTAATAAGATTATAAATTTTCAAAAATACTTAATATTATAATAAATGCTAATTTATTATCCATCATAAAAAATCGGGAGTCTGTTAAAACTTGTTTTAAATTAAAAACTATAAAATAAAAACTATAAATAAAAACTGTAGTCAAAAGGCAAATAAACTGGCCAGCTCATTTCCTTAGTCAGAATTTGTCCATTTAAATTTGTCCTTTTATTGGTCATTCTTCTTAAAGCCTTCTTCTATTGGTTATTTTTACAATTTATGATGGCATACTGCCAAAAATGTGACAAATGAGCTCATATATGGGCCAAATTCTGGACTTTGTCAGAAGAGAGGCTGGTCTTTTGATTCACCTGAACCCCAGAAATTAATCCTACATTTCACTGGAAAACAATCTATAAGACACAACTGGAGTGATGCTAAGATAATAAAAAAATTGCAAGAATATTAATTTAATTTGAACAAAATTCTCTAGACAATTCTGTAAAAAACCAAAAAAAAATGTTTTATAGAATTATCTGTTGTGTGTTGTCTGTTGTCTAGACCCGACTCATGGCAGAGAATTAGCTTTAAGTCTTACCTCCCTGGCTCATCCTCCCTCCTTTTGCTTCAAACAAAAATCTATCAGGAGCCATGCTTAGTCTAAACAAGATTGCCATCATATTGTTTCAACTTTAGTTTTTTCGACTTGGAAAACTCACTGCGTGCCAACACCTCCGTATAAAAGGCTGTTATGGCGGTTTCACAATGCATAAGCGGCGCGGCTGTTTTTCCGGCATGCATGTTCACTACCGAGACTTAACACCGCGAGCAGAGCAGTGACAGGCAGAAGCGGCGCGCGGGTATGTTTTCTTTCACATGCTCAGTTTTGTTTAGGAGTAAACAACATTGCTTTTAACAGCGTTGGTTAGGTTGCACATAGAGATAACGTCTTTATTCTGGGATCACCACTCTCGATAAATACACTTGCATTTAAAGTAAATCGTATTTCAAAGCATTTACTGGGGCACTGGCGACTTTTACTTCGGCACGCCCCTTTTAGGCTACATTAGGCCACCAGCTAATGTCCGCGCCTCACTTTCATTTTCGCTTTCACAAGCAGGGGGTGATGGCTTTTTCGCGGCATTGGATATGCTGTTTTAAATTACGCATCTTACATTAACGTTACAATGTCATTTTTTTTCACGAATAAGTCACAATTTATACGGCATTTGCTGGATTTAGTAACCCGCCATATAACGTAGCGGGGTATATATATAAGTTTACATGTTTTAGAGTTACCCTACAGTTATTTTATTATCGAATTAGTCGCTGACACAAGTCAAATTGAGGTTGGTTTTATAGTCGCACATTACTTCATTTAAGTTTCCACTACCACGCTAATTTGAATATCTGAAATCACATGTAAATACTTGAAAACAACATTAGCACTATTTAATTGACTGTGAACAATGTTGAGCTTTGATATTCATTGGCTGCTAATATGATTTCACTAATCTTAAATTTGCAAATCATAGCCTACTTTTCTGAAATTAGCTATATTATTATTGCGAATATAAAACCAGCGTTACCTCTCAAAAGCTAGTAATTCACAAACAGTTTAAATGGGAATGTTGTACATGGTGTTTAAATGTTGGTTTACTGTACCTTGAGTGAGTTCAAAACGGTTTTAGTGGAGACGGAGAAATGCGCGTCCTCTGTTTTCCAGTCCTGTGATCGCGTATCCTGTTTCGCGCGCTAACATATGAAATTTCCCGCGTGTAAACATCCGGCCTTTTATTCTTTTATGGCTGGTTACACCAACACTTATAGTGTATTAACGTCACCTACTGAGAAGGAGTGTAAACCAGAGTTTGTCTACTCTCAAGAAAATCTATATAAATCACTGTACATTTTTTTTTCTAAGAAAACGAAATAAACTCTGTTTCATAATTGATCATATCTATTAAGATTTCCTCCACTCCCACTTTACTAAACAAAACAATCGAGTAGTACCTGTTATGTTGAGTAAAATCAATACAGCAGTGTTTGGAAAACTCTTTTCTTATCGCTCTTCTTCTGATAATATACTATAGATTTAAAAATAGGCCGTTTAGTTGTGCTGGTTAATAATAGTTCACCCAAAACTGAAAATGTACTCGCTATTTACACTCCCTCAGTAGTAGCACTTTATTTGAGTAACATTGTGTTCATTTCTCTTTTAACAATTAACCCTTAGGTGCTGTTGGGGATGTTTTTATCCACTCTGGGGTGATTTTGAGGCTTAATTTCACCACATCTTTCTCTGTATTTTAGCAAATGCAATGATTTTTGGTGAAAATCTTATTTTAACACACATTTTAGGAAAATGCTTAGAATTAAAAAAAAAAAACCTCAATGATACACTCTGGGCAAATTTATAACCCTTTTGTTATGATGAAAACATCAACTTAATTAAACTACAGAAAAAATGCATCAGATAAATATTTTTTAACATTTTGTTTCTGTATAAATCTTTTAATCAACCTCAGTCCTGATCAAAACTACTACATTACTTAGAAAATGACAGGATTTAAACTCTTTAATTGCCAAATTCATAAATGATGTCACTAATTTGATGAAAGAAAACACACAAAATGACGTATTTCCAATATAAAAAGTAAGTGTGGACTGGATTTTTTAACCTTTCATTAAAGTCTTGCACAAATGAAATAACATTGCTGTTGATGCATTGTTTTTCATTTATCTTCATTTTCCTTCTCCATAATTTACTGCCGATGGCTGTTTTTGCCCTATTGACTTTCATTATAACCACATTTTTTATTACAAAGCCATGGCACCATATAATCCTGCATTTTTGATTGTTAGTGGTTTTCCCTGTTGGAAAGAGGTAATATTGGTCATTTTTACTCTTGATCATCAGCTGGCAGCATTAACCCTTTAGATAGGCCTGCATGTGCAAAACAGCTTAGTTTCTGGATTTTATAATGGAGTATAACAGCAAATTAAAATGTGTCTGTGAGAGGGACCTTTATGCGCTTACCTTGATGTGTCTAGGAAAATCAAAATATGCATCTCAGTTCTCAGAACTACATGGAGTAAACAAAAAAAAAACAAAAAGACTTGATTGGGTTACTTTTTAAAAAAGCCAAATCTGCCATTCTGTTGTCAAGCGAATTCACGTGTTACATAAGAGTATTTGTATTTACACATAGGAAATTGTGCTTGTTATGTCGTCTGTTGTCTTGATGCGTCCAAAACATGTTTAGTTTCATATATTCCAAGAAGGGGTGGCGCAGTGGGTAGCGCTAACGCCTCACAGCAAGAAGGTCACTGGTTTGAGCCTCTGTTGGGTCAGTTGGCATTTCTGTGAGGAGTTTGCATGTTCTCCCTGTGTTGGTGTGGGTTTCCTCTTGGTGTTCCGGCTTCCCCAACAAATCCAAAGACATGCGGTAAATTGGGTAAAATAAATTGTCTGTAGTGTATGTGTGTAATGTATGAATGTATGTGTGAGTGTGAATGAGTGTGTATGGATGTTTCCCAGTGATGGGTTGCAGCTAGAAGGGCATCTGATTCGTAAAACATATGCTGGATGAGTTGGCGGTTCCTTTTGATGTGGCGACCCCAGATAAATAAAGGGACTAAGCTGAAAAGAAAATGAACGAATGAATATTCCCTGTAAATGACAAAAAACAAACAAACAAAACGGGTGGCCAAACTTGGTCCTGGAGGGCCGGTGTCCTGCACAGTTTAGCTCCAACTCTTATCAAACACACCTGCTTAATTAGTGTTGGAGCTAAACTGTGTAGGACACTGACCCTTCTCTACAATGCAGTGACCCTGATCCTCTGTAGGTGGCAGCATAGTAGACGAAAAACAAAAATAAATATTTATGCTTTCAATTTTATTAGTATTTATTTTAGTTTTTCATGACTGTCATTAAACAGTTAATACAGGTGTTTCGATTTAAATAAAATGCCTATGCCAGTCAGTGTGACTGCAGCAGGAAAAAGTGTAAGTGAAATGTCTACACATTAATAATAAAGA